CCTCAGGGGTCCACTGTCTTCCACATGGCCTGCCTCCCTCATGGAAGTCACCTGTCTGGGAGACCTGTAGGCACTGACACTTGCTGTCACCTCCCCAAGGAAACTGGTTCACGGAAACACATTCCAACCAGGTCAAAACTGAAAACCAATTAAGGGACGAAGGAAAAAGCCTGAAGAACCGCAGATGTTTAACAGCAGTGTGGCGGGAACTGCAGCTCGGCACAGGGACTTTAAGCCACCATTTACCTCACAGACTGCAGCCCCCTCGGGTGTCCACCTGGCCTTGCGAACATCTGCAACCACCCCACAGCCTCGGCCCTGGCCCTGGCCCCAGCCCGACCCCTCCCGCCTGGGAGATGGACCCAGCCTCAATCTTCCCTCTCTAACCTACCCTATCCAACAGCCACAGGCATCTCTTAAACCCTTCCCTGGCTCCTCAGCATCACTGGAGTCAAGTATACGTTCAGGACAAACTCCAGCCTCTTAGGACATCCTGACTTTGGACACGCCCTCCCCACCACCTTCCACCCTTCACTCCAGGCAAATGAACTGGACTCTCTCCCTTAACTACATACGCTCTCGGTTACCTCCGGGCCTTAACCCACATGGTCCTTCTGCCCAACCCTCTTTCACCCTCTCCTCCCCAGCTAACTCTTCTCTTTCAAGTCTCACCTCACCCAGAAAGCCTTTCTCGAACCTCCAGCTTGGGTGAGGTGCTTCCCCTAACCTCATCCAGCTCTGTGCACTTCCCGCATCCCTGCTCTGACCCCTGTTACCATCTGGTGACAGGCTTGTCTCTCTCACAGCACTATGGGTGTGGGAGGGCAGGGCTGTGGGCTCCCTTCATCACTGTGTGTCCCCACACCCTAGTACAGTGAAGAATGAGTGCTGAGGAATAGCAGGAGAAACGTCCATCCTTAAGGGACAGATGACAGAAGTCCAGACCAATCCCGTCTCCTGTAGCACTTCACACCTGTGCACCTGCATGCCCGCCACGTCCAAACTGCTCACCATAGGCTTATCGTAGAAGGGGAATCCCTGCATGGAGCGCAAGGCATTGGTGGCGCTGCTGACTTCCTTGAAGATGACAAAGGCCTGGCCCCTCATCTTCAGGCTCCGTGACACCAGGATATCCAGGATCTGGCCAAACTGGGAGAAGATGGCGTACAGGGATTTCTTCAGCTCTGCAGTGGGGTAAAAAAAGACCCATGGGTGACTAGAGGCCTTGGTACCACGTCCCGGGTCTCACGCTTCCTTTTTCAGAGCAAAGTACAGCCCAAAAGGGAAACCATTAGCCAACTGACAGAGTACCCAGAATTCCATGGGTCAGCAATTCCTCAAGAGCCAGCAATAACAGAAGCAGCCAAGAACCATTCAAATGGTGGTGATGATGCCTAAGAGGTCAACAGCAACAGTTCCCACCCCACAGGATGGCTATATGAGGAACACAAGTCCCATACGAAAGGACCATAGCAAGTGCTTCATAAATGCAAACGCTTCTTTCCTCATCACTAGGACCTGTGCGATGTGGCCCTAGCTGACTTCTCCAACTTCATCTCTCCCCACACGCTACTTCACTCGCCTCCCAACCCTTTCTCAGGCCCATCACACCAAGCATGCCTTAGGACCTTTGCACTGGCTGCTCCTCTCCAGGAGAAAGGACCACCTTTCTCCTGGGTGGCTGACTCCTTCCAGCCAGCCAGGTTTCAGCAGAAACACTTCCCCCTCAGAGGCCTTCCTTCCCTGACCACCCTCTAGCTAAAGAAATGCCCCCTCATGTCACCCCTCATACTCTGCTTTTCCTTCATGGCATTTTCCACCTCCCCATGTTTGTTTACTTGTTGTCTAGCTCTCCCTCTGAAGAGAAGTATTTGTTTACCGCAGTATCCCCATGTTCAGTGCAGGCTCCAGACCACATACTTTTCCAAAAACGCTTGCATGAATAGATAGATACCATTAAATGTTTTTTTTTAAAAAAAGTCACTAAATTCTCACAACCACCCCATGAGGGAGCAACTGTAACTGTCCCAATTTTACTAACATAAAAACAGGCTCTCAGATGACTTGTCGCTGGCTCAGGAGTGTCCTAAGCATTCTAGGAAGACCCTGTAGAGCTGGGACCCAAGCCCTTCTGAATCCAATACCACCACACCTCATTAGCAAACTGCTCCACTTAACAGTTGGAACAGTACCAATCTTATGCAAAGAAGGTATCTGAACTGAAGATGCTTAGTGAAAAAGATACTAGGAGAGAGAATAAAATGCGTGTGGGTGTGAGGAACAGAGGGAAAGCGGAGGTGTTTTTAAGCAATTAGCCAAAATTCTCCTGATGACAGTTCTGGGTTGTTCCCATCCTCCATATCCAGGAACCCAGTTTGGGGCCCACTCCCTCCACAACTGGCAAGATCTTTTACAATTAACTCAGTTCCTTTCCTGGTTCCCTATGCTCTCAGGACGAAGTCTAACACCTCACCCAACCCACAAAGCCCCAGGAGTCATCAGTGCACTGCTCATTGGAAAATTCTCCTTGAGTCAAAGGCCACTAGGCCTTAGGCACACACACAAACTATTTCTACTTCCCAGAATGCCCCGAACTCTTTCATCTCTAGATATTTGCACATGCTGATCCAGGTTAGGAACACTTTTCTCTCTCAACATAACATAAATATCCTTCTCGATCCGTGGTTTGGACTCTGTGTATGCAGAGGGCTGACTTAGGTTATATGAGGATTTTCGACTACGTGGGTAGTCGGCACCCCTAACCCATGTGTTGTTCAAGAGTCAACTGTACTGTTTCCTGGAAAGCTTTTCTAAAATATCTTCTTTTCTATGAAACTCAATCAATCCCTCTTTCTCATTGCCCACTCCTAACCCTGTGCTTCTCCCAGTTATGGCCCTGGCTACTCTGGGCTATCACTGTCTGGTAGTTCCTCATTCTCACTGGACTCGTGGCTCCATGAAAGCAAGACCAGGACTGTCCCAGTCACCAGTGTGTCCCTAGCACTACAGAGTACTGCCTGAGCACCATACTTTAAAAGCATATAGGGGATTTATACGGCTTACTTTGTTTTCAACAGCAAGTTTACTGGTAACCTCAAGCTTAATCTCAGCAAGCTCCTTTGGTTCTCCTCATAATTTTACTGAGGTAATAATTACAGCTAACGTTTATCCAGCCCCCAACTGCTAGGTACCAATAAAAAGTACTGCATGGAGACTTAGCTAATTTAATCCCTGCAACATCCATGCAAAGAAGGCATTAGGATTTTGCTCAGTTTTCAAATATAGAAAACAAGGTTCGATAACAGTGGTAAATTGCTGGAAAAAAAAAAAATGGAAAAGTATATCTGATGTCAAGAACTGAGTTCAGTAGAATTCCACACCGGTGATCTCAACCACTTTTATTTGCTGTGTGACCTTGGGCAAGTCACATCATTCCTGAGTCTCGGTTTCCTAATCTGAGATATGGCAGTAATAGTTCCTACCTGCAGGGTTGTGAAAATAAATGTAATCAAGACATACATCAGCACCCGGTACACTGTTAGGCATCGTTACCATTCCTTTCACTTTCATTGTGGGCTTATCACTGAGATCATGACAGTGACCAAGCCAGTCCCAGTTCCTGCCTTCATGGAGCTCACAGACCAGTGGAGAGAGCCCTATGACAGCCCAAAACAATCACGGCTTGTGAGGGGAGGAGGGGGACAAGTCCAGGGCCTATAGGAAGTGAGCCGCATGCACTTGAGGGGAAAGGAAATAGGGAAGGCTTCCTGGAGGAGGGGTCTCTAAAACCCTGAAGGATGAGCAACAATGAGCAGGTTAATGGGCAGAGTGTTAAGATGAACTTAAGGAGTGTTAAAGCCAAAGGAAGCGGCATGCGCAAAGGCCGAGGTGTTAACATTTTGCCTGGAGAAGGCTGAAGAAGTGGATGCTACGCTAGGGATGGAAAAGGGACCGGCTCGTAAGGGAAAGCCTAGATTCTGGACTCCCCCAAGAACTCACCATCCTTCTTGATCTTCTCATTGAGATTGTTGATATAAATAGTGTGGTTGGGGCGGCTCTCGGGAACTGCCATGGTGTGAGGTGCTGAGGTAGGGCTGAAAGAGGAAAAAAGGTAATTTCAGCCTTGGGTTTCTCTAAATCCTTTATCCCAAAGTGGGCTTAACGGGCTGCTTAGGAATCTTCCTTCAAAGAGGAGATCAGGTAAGACACGGAACAAGGAAGAGGGGCGTACAGCTTGGAAAACAAAGCGAACGCACAATACTGCCTCTCCTCCCGCGTGGTGAGGAAAATCTCGAGAGATTTACTACGAATCCCAGGATGCTCTACGAGACTTAATAGGCGGAGCGTCCTGAATGGCGATTCCCATTGGCCCACGAGCTCAAAGTCGGCCCAGGAGAAGGAACCCGGATATAAAAGCCAGTTAATGAAAGACGGACCACCGGGCCTCGCGCAACGGGAAAATAGTTTCCCCACATGAGACACGGGAAGACCCGGGCACCAAGCGCCCCGCCTGCCAGACACCAAAAGCAGCCTGCGCCCAAGATTACTCACCAACAGAGCCGCAGCTCCTGCAAGTGGCTACTACGTTTCTGAGCGCCGATCACAACGCTTCCTCTCCTGGCCCCGCCTTTGTCTTGCTGCAAGCCAACCCCCACGAGGAAATTTGGTAGCTTGACCAATCAGAGTAAACCTTGCCCGATCTTGCCAATCAAATCTCAGCCCAATACATGCCAATCAACCTCAGCCCAGAAATCGCCAATCAAAATGGCATTTAGGTTCCCGCCTCGGCAGAAAAGCCCCGCCCATCCCCTGCAAGCCCTCCCTCTCTGCGGCGCCCGGGGCTACGCACCAATCTGTGAAGGCTGCGCCTCTTTGCCAATCCCGACAGCTCGTTCGGCAGCCTTTTCCGGAGGCAGTTCATTAGAAGCCCCATCTCTCCCCCGACTGCCTTGCGTTCTGTCACGTGATCACCGAAGGGGCGGGCCCGCGTGGTAGTCTGGCCACGTGACATGGGAAAGGGTGTGTGTTGTAGTCGCCATTTTGCGGGAAGGGGAGGCCGGGTACACCGTGACTTCGTTCCTGTTCTGTTCCAGCGGAGTCGCGCCTCCCGGTGGCCTCCGATGTCCGAGCTTTCCCTTACCTACAGACTTCCTGTTGCGCTCTGATTCCAGGACCTTCTTAACAACTAGGACATTTTCCCAGCCAAGGGTCTTTGTGACTTCTTGACCTCACATTCAAAGGTCAGCTCGAAGGTTCCGAACTCGGGCCTGGATTTTGAGGGGCCGAGCCTAATTCCTTACCTAGTCTTTAGACCTGGACCTCTAAAACCCACCTTTTAGGCTCCTCACCCCAGGTCTGAGCCTTCATATCCCAAAATTGACTCCCAAGTTTGTAAATCTAGCCCCGGATAATAAATTAACTCCTAAATCTCCTTAAACTTTGCAACGCAACTGGTTCTGGGTTAAAGGACCCCTGCTCTGTTAACCCTCCCGGTTGGAGTCAGCCCCAATCCCTGCTCCCGTGGTTCCAAATTTTAGCTCTGGTTCTTACAGTCCTACTGCTCAGTCCCCCGATTTCAGAACAACACTGAAACCTTCAGAATCTCCGTCCCTGAGACCAACCCGTTTTGGAGGATCTTTCTCTCCTCCATTCTTCGTCCCATGCCATAGGCTCCAAAATGATTTCTCCATGTTCCTCCCTAGAGACCCCAATCCTTCCAAGAACCCTTGCTTCCCAGGCCCCCGTCATTCCAACTTCTATCCTACCCCCACATCTCCCCAACTTAGCCTTTCCACCCTCTCCCTCCACTCTCCGGGCCCCTGTTCCCCCACCACCCCCGCTGCCACCGCCACCCCCTGCCACGGGGGTTGCTCCCCCTCATGTCTTTGGCCTGGAGAAGAGCCACCTTCTGAAAGAGGCCTTGGAGAAGGCCTGCCCAGTCCCCAGGAGCAGAGAGGACGTCAGGAGGCTCCTGAAACTGCACAAGGACCGGTAGGGTGTTCCTGCTCTACCTCACCCACCTAGGGTCTCTCCCAATAACCTGTCCCCAGATCGGTTCTGCCATCTTTTCTTGGGGTTTCCTATTTCCTCCACCAGACTTAAAACTCAGAGTGGTCAGAGGGAGTGCCTGCCACAGGCTGGGAGTTAGTGGGGCCTGCCTGGAGAGGAGGACCCCGGGGTGCTGCTATGGGGTGAGAGTAAGCAGCTTGTGCAGAGACCCACAGTGAAATGAAGATAGGTTCTTTCTAAGGCTCTGTAAATGTTTAGTAGGAGAGAGGAAGTGGCAAATACTGGGTTTCATGAGCCGGGGCGGGCGGGGAGGGCATGTGAAGGAAGGTGACTGTCCTGAGGGCACCAGGTACCCATGGGAAGGCTTAGCTCAGGGAGCAAGGGGAAGAGGCTAGACCCGGCCGGGGCTCTCGGGATCCAGTTTAAGGATTGCGGGCTAAGGGGAAGAGAAGAAATGACTAGCCCAGACTGATAAGAAACTTTCACCTTTCTAGGCAAGTTGATGATAATCTACCCAAAATGCCTCAACCATAGTGAGACAAATTTAATGCAAATGAAAACACTTGTTATTGCATGCCTAGCATATGGCCGGCACTGTTCTAAGTGTTTTTAAGTACTTATTTAATTCTCAGCAACTCTGTGAGGTAGGAGCTGTCATCTCATATTCCAGATGAGGAGGCTCATAGAAATGAAGTCACTTAGCCACAGTGGTTAGTAGAGGAGAACACAATTTGAACTCTGGCCACGGGGCTCAATGCTTTTAACCAGGATGCTGTGATGGCATCTCCTTTCATCAGGAGAGTAGCGCCCCCACACACACCAGCCTTGCCCTTTCACTGGCCTTGGAATAGAAATATAAGTGCTTCTCTCTACCCGTCCTGTGTCCTGGACAGGGGAGGAATGAATTGAAATCGCCAAAACGGTCTTGAGTGGCTTCCCCGTGGATGGAGCTGGGCAGGCATACAAGGGCTCTTTATCAAGGTGATTTCTAGGCCTGGAGTGTGTTACCGGGTTTTACTCAAGACTGAGTTAAGGGACATTCACCTTATATAACAGCCCGAGAATTAGGCTTAAAAGAGAAAATTCAGAGTTCAGGTATAGAA